CTATTTTTGCGAGACAGGGGAAAATCAAGCTCTACTCTTGCTTCAGATCATATTAGTTGTTGAGGCTTCTGTGTAATTTTCTCTTAAGCACATGTACTTGTACTTCATACCCGTTTTGATGGGAAATTAAACAAATGAAAGGTGATGTTCTTCAATGGTCAGGACCCCTGCAGGACCACCACAGAGCAAGTAATATTCTCAGCACTGCAGTGACACTGGCGTGGTGGTGACGTTAGTGAATCTTGCGCTGGTATAAGTGAATTAGACACAGCAGTGCTGCTGGAGTTTTTAAACACGGTGTGCACTCACTGTCCACTCTGTTAGACACTAACTTGTTGGTCCACCCTGCAGATGTAAAGTTACAGACGATAGCTCATCTGTTGCTGCACACTTTGTCTTAAACATCATCCAGTCCTTCATCAGTGGTCACTTTCTGGCCACATGACACTGAGTTTAGAAACCACAACAGCACTGCTGTGTGTGATTCCTTCACACACACTAACAGCACACACTTCCACTAACACGTCACTACCACGTCAGTGTCAGATTATGCAGAGAAACAGTCAGGCTACAATCTGTGATTGTAGAACCACAAAGTGTAACTACATGGATCTGATAAAATGAACAATGAGTGTAGATACAAGTTAGGTGCACCTAATAAAGTGGCCAGTGAGTGTATGTAAAAGCACATAAACATGGGTATAATGACTGGATCTTTAAATGTCCTCTAATGTATAAGAGTCCTTGAAAAAGTCCTGTAGAGCTGGAAGACTATGAATATTACTTTGTGCTTCTATCTTGCATATAGAGCAAGCCTGCCTGTGCAGCTAAACACCAGAGGAAACTAACACTTTATTTGAAGGCTACCTTGGCCAAGGACTTCATAACACACGCATAAGTACTAAATAACATATCATCACTTTCCAAAGAAAACATGTATCTCCATTTTTTTTACTTTTCTACATCATTTGAACACAGAAGCTGTCCTTTACATTGTGTGAAAACTCATGAAGAATGGGCCAATAGAAGTGCTCCAAAATTGCTTTGAATAAAAACTGTTTACATTAATTTGAAAAGTAAAGAATGTTTTTGCTCTCTCCTGTTAATGTGACATTTTGTAGATACTTATTTTTCTTTAGACAGTGATGATATTTACAAAAGCAATACTTGAGTTCCTATGAAAAGCTCTATGCTGATATTCGCAAGACAACATAAGATCATTATTGAAGCTATTGATATTGTATTGACATAAGAGCTTAAAGCATAAGAAACTAACGTGAGAGATATTTGGTACATTTGTAAAACTGTTATAAAGCATCATTCCCAAGTAATGGAACTTTTGTCCTTGGTACTTTGAAATCAAGTAGCAATACAGATCCGGGACTTCTACTTTTACCTAAAGCTGCACTATGTACATGTCAAAATTTAAAGTATTATTAATGAGTCAGGAAAAAAGAACATACTAAAATATGTTATGTGAGCACTGCTGTGAGTCTCCCTGTAAAGCCTGAAATACATACATACATAATCTAAACCGCTTATCCTTCTGGGTCGCGGTGGGGTGCTGGAGCCTATCCCAGCCGTCATTGGGCGGAAGGCAGGATACACCCTGGACAGGTCGCCAGTCCATCGCAGGGCAGACAGACAGACATACACAATCACACCTAGGGGCAATTTAGCATGTCCAATTGGCCTGACTGCATGTTTTTGGACTGTGGGAGGAAACCGGAGTACCCGGAGGAAACCCACGCAGACACGGGGAGAACAGGCAAACTCCACACAGAAAGGACCCTGGTCACCCGGCCGGGAATCGAACCCTGGCCCTTCTTGCTGTGAGGCGACAGTGCTACCCACTGCGCCACCGTGCCGCCCGTAAGCCTGAAATAGTGATTTAAAAGTCAGAAGTATCAGTTCAGATTTTCCAGACCACATCATACACCTTTACATATTACCTTCACATGCACAGAGTCAAAAAGGAGGTCTGGCTCAATGTTTAGGTCTCAAATGCAAACTCAACATTATACTAATAGTAGATAATTCACTTACACCCTTCATTAAGTTTTGACTGAGCTCTCTTTCAACACAATCATCAGATTCATCGGCTCGTGGGGGTCCGGAGCACAATTACCATTACAAAATGTTCTCCTGTGCAATTACACATTTCCACCAGAGAGGTCCAAAATCCCCAAATCTTACATAGTGCAGTCTTTTCAAACTTATAAGATGTCAGAAAAAATACATGTTGTGACACATCATGTACCATGAAAACTCTTGAAGTGTGGTGTTACTGCGTTTTTGTCATACTGCCCAACTCTACACATGCGCCAACATGACTTAGGAATAATACTTCATAATAGTGTCCATCCTTCAGTTTAAGAGCCCTTATCTCAATGCAATATCCTGTTCTTCATAAAACATCTGATGTCATCTTGTGAATACAGACATAAGCTGTTCATTAAGGTTCAAATGTTGCTTTTTAGTGTTATTCAGTGCTTACACATGTATCATAAAGTCAGGTAGGCAGCAACGAAAGCTGTTTCAGCACTGGAGATCTTGGTGTGTATATAGTGTAAGGTTTTACATGTAATACAGTCTTTTATATAGAATATATTGGGTATAGAGGCGTATGTATAGAATATGGTAATGTGACTGTGTACATCTAGAACAGTGGAAACCAACCCTGGTCCTGGTGATGTACCAATCTGGGAGTGTATTTGGGGGTCTTATATTCAGATGCTTGGGGGTCTAATATTCAGATCCTGGATGTCTTGACTAACCGGATCAGGTATGTTATACTAAGGTTGGAGCTAAACTCTGCAGGTGTAGCTCCAGGATCATTAGGAGCAGGGCTGACCATTCCTTTGATATGCAGTGTCTGGACATGTCTGGGAATGTATGTATGTTTTGTTTGTGTATGTGTGTGTTGATTGATGTGTCTGCGTACATACATTGTTGGTGCGTACGTGTGTATGTGTGTGTGTGTCTGCGAACACATTGTGCAAATACAGACCTGAGCTGGGGAGGCAAAAGGCATGACGTCATTACCAGGAGTGCTCTTAAAACAGAAGCTGAACGAAGCCAACCTGACCGAAAATATCACCGACTTTACAGCAGAAACATTCTGAAACGGAACAGTGGTGCCGTTAGTGTATGAAGAGGGAACGAATGAGGAGGAGGAGTTTAGCTCGCCATTGGAACGTAAAGTGGAAGCGAAGCAGATGTAGCACGCGTGAGGAGCGTTATTTGTTTAATTATTTATTTTCCCACCCGTATTCCAACAAACCCGGCCTACTGCGTTGGGATTGGCTAGCAGCGTTCCACCTCTTGCGCTACGGTTAGCTAAGAGTTCTTAACCACTTGCCTTAACAGCGCATGAGTCTGAACTGCTGGCCAATCCCAGTGCAGGGGGTGTGGTCTTGTCGGAATACGGGTGGGGGAAAAATTACGCCGGACACGGACGGAGCCGTGCGCGCCGTTCTTCCAAATTGTCCAGCGCACGTTAGCTTCGTTTCGCGGTTGTCGCGGACTCGGACAGACAGAGAGAGCGCGAAAAGGAACGGCTGGCGTGATGGCGGCCCTGACCGGAGGAGAGATGTGCGTCAAGTACTTAATGTTTGCCTTCAATTTCATATTCTGGGTGAGTAGCCTGCATGTGCGTGTGATGGCTCGCAGAACGATGCTCGCGCAATAACGGACCGGAGCGGACGGACAGCAGGCGAGCAGGACAGCGGGCTTCAGTGTGTAGATGCGTCTGGCAGTGCACGAGCGCGTTTGCTGGCTCTCGTGACCAGCTGTGGGTGAACATTTCGAACCGGGACGGCTCGAGATTCCCCTTAACATGGTCGGGCTGGCTGCTGTGTAGTTGACATAATTCTCGACCCGGGATGGGTGGGGGCTCTGAGGCGGTGGTCATTGATCTAAACTCAGTTCACTCTGGGTCCGCATGTGTGTGGCGGGACAGGTCTTGAATTCTGATAGCGTTCCCTTGACAGGCTCGCGCGCCCACTGACCTCACTCACGACTCCGCGCGCCGCTGCCCCGCTCTGTCTGTGGGATAGGCGAGGTGTGTCTGTACCCCAGCGGGATTTTCTCCAAGTACCAATCCCAGATTGTGTTTAATCTGAGGGACTATTTATAGAGTTCGGTAATCCCACGCGCAAACCCATTACGGGCTGCGTGTGGGCCTGAGCAAAGAGACGATGGGCGCATGGACGGAGCAGCCTGCTCCGCGTGGACGGAGCGCCTCTTAAATATGTCATCGAGTTAGTGTGCATGATTTACTCTCACTCTTTATGGCACTTAATTCTTAATACCCATCTCTTAATATCATGTTTGCATTATTAAGAAGTCACGATGGGGGGCACTCTTACACACACACACATTTGCATTCTTATTTCTGTAGGTTTTTCCATGTTTTCTACATTATAGTGACCAAATGAAATAACAATGCATATGTTTAAAAAATCCTAAGTATCTCAACAATTTATAAAACGTCCCACGCTGAGAACATTTGACTGCCACAAAGAGCTAAAGAGAAAGCATAAGAGAGAGATGTGTTGAATTAGGTACACACTTTAAAAAGATGGTTCCTTAAGTTTTAGAACCATGAGTTGTATATAGAACCATTTCATGTTTAAAGGGTTCTTTGAATGGTGAAAATGTTCTTCAGACTGATAGAGAATGTGTTGGGTATGGTCATATATAGCACATTTGTGAATATGGTTCAATATAGCACCAAAAAGGGTTCTGGACATCGTAACAGTAGAAGAACCTTGTTTGGTGCAATATTCAAAAAGGTTCTATATAGAACCATATACAACACATTCTCCATCAATCTGAAGAACTGTCTATTTTAAATGTGTAGAGTGATTCTTAAATTGGTTAATAACTCTGAAACCTCGTTTGTTTACATGGTGAACAGTGTGTGGTCTGTACCAGTCACGCTCTGTTTCAGGCCTCTTAAAACTGGCAAAAAGCCATAAAACACTCAGTATTCAGCAACACTTAGCCTAGTTTAGCCCCGTGTCAGAAACAACAAAACACACAGCCATCATACGGGTCACATGTTGCTTTTTAAATTGCTACATTCCCATCTGCGTATTTGTTCGATATTTAGGCGAATCCCTGTCTCCAGAGGGGTGTATATCATGGCAGCAGTGTTTCAGTAGCCAAACTGCTGACAGAAAGAGGTGAGCTTGTTGAATTAGCGCGAGGTGAGCGAACTTCCTGAATCTTGACTCACCGTTTTCCCAGGAAAGACGAGCGGGGACAGACGAGCGGTACAAACGACAAAATATATGCTCATATCTCGGTCGTTATTACACTCTCTAGACGTTTAGTCGGTTTTTTGCACTGAACATTTGGCAAGATAAGGACTTTAGTCTCAGATAAAGCCTGTAGTTTTTCCACTCTGCGAAAAGCTTTAACAATCGAAGAACAGCTTTGTCCTCGTTTATCGCGTTTGTCGTGTGGATCGTTTGAACCAGCTGTAGCAGAATGGGGCTTCCAGGAGGAATAACGTGTGTAAAATACGTGATGTTCATCTTCAACCTTCTCTTCTGGGTATGTGGGCTGTTTTATTTACTTTACAGTCTCTTTTGACGTATGTTAAGAACAGAAAGTAAGCCAAAGTAGCTAAAGGAGCAACCTGTTTGTGTGTGTGTGTGTGTATGTGGGGGGTGGGAATGAGCAGCCGGAGAGACAGTTTTAGAAAATATGTGCGCAGAGAGAGCGAGAAAGAAAGAGTGTGTGTGTGTTGTGGGCAGCAACGAACCATTGGCATGGAGATTGCTGCTTAGCAGGCCTGATTTTCAAATCAGGGAATTAGGTCAGGCAGGGAGAGAGAGAAACAAAACCTTTTAAAATGAAACCGATATTCAGTGAAGTGAACGTGACACCACTTGCAAAAGAAGCTGATATTGCGTAACATAACGTCTGATTACAGAATACATATTTGCCTTAAGAATAGTGTGAATCCACAATGACACCAACAGCTCTTACTGGCTGACTATAGATGTGTTCTAAACTAGAAGTTCCCAAACTTTTTAAAGACCCACCAAATATTTTATGACGTAAATAAGCTTTCACTCTACTTTTACTCAACAAAGCATGTCCTTTCAATCTACAACAGATTCTAATCTGTGTTATGATCTATCTTATTTTACATCTGTACTCTAATCGCCCATCTTTTCAGTGTAACGATCACTGGAGTGCTTTCTGCGCGTGGCAGCTATAAAAGTCTGAACTGACAACACCGGAGCTCTTTGGAAGCAGCAGAGGTTCAGAAACGGAGTGGGTGCCGCTTCTGATCTAAAATGCCCTTCACCCTGCTTTTATGGGAGAAAAAATGTGACCCCAGGACCCTCAGATCCCAGTAGTGAAATCCACAGTTTGAAAAACACTGTTAGACAACCGAAACCACAACTTGTTCTTCTTTTGGTCTGTGGAACTTCTGTCTCTTTGTTGGTTTACGTCAAAGCCTATAAATAGAAGACTAGCTTAATAATGTATACAAAAGAAAAGCCCTGTTTCTAGGAGACATTCTTTTCTTGGTTAAACAGTAGTCATGCTCAACACTATAGTGGTAGGAAATTTTATGAAATTACTCCAGTATTTGATGTGATGGTGCTCTGGTTAATTCTCACACTTATGTATACATATATTTGTACTGTCCATGCTCATTTGGATATGTTGTATATTTGCTTATTTGTGTGTGTGTGTGTGTGTGTGTGTGTGTGTGTGTGTTTGTGTGTCAGTTGGCAGGTACAGGTGTATTGGCTGTGGGTCTCTGGCTGAGGTTTGATCCCAAGACTAGAAACCTGTTTGAAGGGGAAAGCTCTCCCTATGTGTTCTATACAGGTCAGTGCTTTTGCAGAGAGGAATTGATATGGGAGGGAAGTATTCACAAAGCCACTGTTGACAGTGCAAGGTAATTAGCCTTTTGCAGTTTTGTGGTTCAATTTTGGCTCATTCCTTTTCAATTGCAAGTTACAGGGGTCCTCATCATTTCCTTCAATGACGTGTAATGCCCCAGTACTTTTTTTTTTGTTTGTTTTTTTGTTTTTTATTTTAGAGAAGTAGCTCCATATCATGTTTCTCCCAACTCTGTACTTCACTGTGGATAAAGTGTTCTTGAGATCAAATGTGCAAATCTTGTTTCTCCTGACATGATGAGCTGAATTATTGCCAAAGAGTTCTGTTGTTTGGTTTCATCTGACCAGGGTATATTGTTCCAAAAGGGTTCTGATTTGTCTAAAGGCTCTTGTGTGAATTTTAGACACACACCTTTGTGCTTCTTTTCAGCAGAGGGGTGTTGTGTGGTGTGTAGGAAAAGAGATGGTTGTTCATGCCGTTCATTGCTTAGTGTTTTCCATGTAGTTGTTGTTCCAGCTGCTTTTATGTAATTCTGCACTTCTTTTTGAGTGAATGCTGGTTTCTATGTTAACGTCTTCATCATTAGTCTAAGAATGTGTTGTGAAATTTTCCACCAGTCCAGGGACGATAAGTTGTGGTCCCATTGGCTTTCCATTTGCATATTATTGAACGAATTATACTGAAAGTTGACAGAGAGATGTTTGAGGTCTGCTATGGTTCTGTGGCGTTTTCAGTTTGAATGTTGATGATTATGAATACATACATACTTTTTATTCAAGTATGAAGTCAAAACACTTCAATTTCAAGTGGAAATATACACTGGAAGTACAAAGTGTATAAAATAACAGCAATGGAAGTGTCTGAATTCTTGTTTCCCCTTACTATATACATTGGTTTGCTAACCAATGTGTGTGATGTACATGGTTTGACACACATTGTTTGTGTTAGGTGTGTATATCCTCATAGCTGCAGGAGCACTGATGATGGTGGTGGGGTTCTTTGGCTGCTGTGGAGCCATTCAGGAGTCACCATGCTTGCTGGGATTGGTAAATATAAATGGCCTTTTATCTTTTTCACTCCCTTTTTCTGCCTCCTTCTCTCTTCACAATCTTTCTAGCTATCTAGATCAGCTTTTCTGCCTGCCTAAATGATTCCCTGAAGTTGATTCTCAGCATGTACACAAACCTTTCAACAGTATTGACTACAGAATTGGCTAATCTCTGTGATTGTGTGTGTTCTCTGTTTTTTCACTACAGTTCTTCTTCTTCCTGCTGCTTATCTTTGCAGTGGAAGTAGCTGCTGGAATTTGGGGATTTTCCAACCAGAGTAAGGTCAGCATGGTCCCTCTAGCGCCCTCACACTCACACTCATACCCAAAGATACAAAGGCATCAGTACAGCTCTCAAATCCAAGTGACTGTCTTTGCTGCCACAGGTTGTTGATGACATCACTCAGTTCTACAGGCAAACATACAGCAACTATAAAGAGAACAAGCAAGATGCTCTGAAAGAAACCCTTCGTCTATTCCAGGAGAGGGTGAGCTCCAGGCTCCTTTCTCTATCACTCTATCATTTGCTGTGTAAAGTTTAAATTGACTTTAATCTACCTTTAGCTGAACTGCTGTGGACCCTCTAACACAGCGGAAGACTTGAAAATTCTTGAAGGCACCTGCCCCAAAAAGGATGGATTGGAAACCCTTATTATCAAGGTAAACATAATGAAAGGCTAATAATAGTGAAAGGCAGTTCTCTTTAATTTACTATTGTAGGAAAGACTGATCGTTTTTAGTTTGTGGCTGTTTATGGTTAAAAATAATCTTTGTGACTCTTGCTCCTTCATTTTTTCTTTTGCTCCTTTCAGAGCTGTCCTGATGCTATTGATGAAGTCTTCAACTCGAAACTGCATATTATTGGAGCTGTTGGGATCGGAATTGGTGTCATCATGGTAAGACCTTCTACAGACTTTGCATATAATTTGGGTTATATTCAAAGTCATATTCATAGGAGGATTGTGCTCTTCGTACATGCTGTTTAATATTTAGTGTGTTCAGTTTGCTTTACATAGACTATGCAGCATTCTGTATTGGCTTTTTGTATAATAGCTTGTTTGTCTGTTTTCTCAGTAGCCATAAAATGCAATTTCCACCTTTTTCAGTGGTCCCTCCATTGAACTATGCATTCTAGGGCTGCACAATAAATCATATTTTTATTGTTGTTGTGATAAATGCATGGTTGTGGGTTGGAATGACAGAACAGACTAAATTACCTTACATGCGCTGCACCAAAGTGATATAATTTGATTACTAGAATGTAACGTTAAAAGCCCAGCAAGTGCTTTTTTGTACTGAGCTTGAACCCACATGGAGAATGAGTCACTTTAACCATTCAGTTAAACCTGTCAATTACAAAACACACACAGGCACAGCTCAGAAATGATTCTGTCCTGAACTACTATCGTGTAAAAATAATTAAAACATGTCGACTGTTCTTACTTTCAGTGTTGTTTGGCATCCTATGGAGCTTCTTAAGTAATCAAAATATATATTGATTTGCTTATATTGGAAATAAAAAATATACATATTTATTATTTGTTTATAGTCTGACTGCAAACATGAATAGAAAGAGCTGCTCAAGGAATCCAGACTATTTTTTAGACTTAAGCACCTTTATAGAATTCACTTACATTTCACAAGCTACAAATTCTCCATAAGGGGGCGCCGTTAGTGCCACTGTGTCCTTGTTCAACCCTACAGTGCACAAAAATGCTTGCAGTTATGATGTAAGAAGCTATTAGTATTCATTATTTTCATTTTCTTCGTAGATAAGAAAGCGTTTCTAAAAGTGTTTTATTGCCTTTTTGTTGTGGAAATTGCAAACAATTTTTTGAGTTGTGTTGTCCATCTTACCTCAACACAGCCATCTTTGTGGAGAGGTGTGAATTGTTTTCACAGCAGAGGGTTCTCATTCCTCCCCTTTCACCCCTCATTGCTTGCTAGCAGCTCAACACAGACACGACATTTCATGCACCGTGAGACAACAGTGCCCAAGTTATATGAATTGAAAATATTAGAGTCAGTTTCCATTCTGCTGGCCCATTGGCCGTTAGGGACCCTGTAGAAAGCAGTTAAGAATTTGAGGGTTTTGAAGAGTTGTATTCCCTGAAGGAATTAATGTTTGCCTGTTTTTGTTGTTTGTTTGTTTTGTTTTGTTTTTGTTTTGTTTTCCACAGATCTTTGGGATGGTCTTTAGCATGATGCTATGCTGTGCCATTAGGAAGACCCGGGAGATTGTATAAGGGCCTTTTACCTGGGAAACTGCCAGTGTATTCATGTTGCATGATATCTGTCCCAAAGCACTCGCTCTAACCTCATCAGCTAAGGGCCAATTAGATCACACTGACAGTCACTTACTCCAGACAATGCTGGGGTTTCTTTTGTCTGATTAGTGGGAATTCACTCTTTTTCTCAGTGCAGCTGTATGATTGGTTTAGATCATGTGTAATGAGCCAATGGGTTTAGTTGACTTTGTCAAGCCCATTGGAAAACAGCCTTCAAGTCTAACTTTTTATATTTTTTTATCATTCATGACAGATTTTAAAGATGAATTATTGTTTGCTCTGTGGTAATTGCTGTCTTGCTTCTATTGATATAAACTGATATGAAATTTTCGAATGTTATATTTGTTTGTGATTTTTAAATAGGGTTATTTTGATGTATCACAATCAATGCACATGGCTCAAATAAATGCCAAATACTCTATGGATGGGGTTATTCTCTTGCTACTTACCACCCACAGAGAATCATTATGGTCAAAGAAGGAGAAAAGAAGAAAAACTTTGTTGTTTGTGTGTATGTGTATGTGTAAAGCACATGCAGAATGATGACACTCCAATTTATCTCAGTACTTGGTCCACCACAGCTCTCCTTCCCATTTCATTACCTGTAGGCATCCATGACTGAAAACTATAGATAAACTCCAATTTTCTTGAATCCAGACAAAACATACATTTTGCTTGTTGATTCTAAAACCCTGCTTCTACCAACCCCTGAGTTTTTAAGGGATATTGATGTTGTGGCTGTCAAACCCTGTAACATTGTATGCAATTTATGATGAACATAATGTATGAACATAATGTTCAATCCTATACTCTCTTATTTAAACCCCACATTAGGTCACTCGTATAAATGCTTATTATCAGCTCCACCTCATTGCCCAACTTTGACCCATATGAAAACCGTGGAAACCCTGGTTCATACCTTCACCTCATGTTTAGATTACTGTAATTCCCTTTTAATTGTCATCCCTGGTAAGACACTAAATAGACTCCAACTTCAAAATTCGGCAGTTATAGGCTCCTTACACACACTAAGCGCTCCACACACATCACAACCATACTCCGTCAGCCAGCTAGAGATCATAGTCTTGCAGGGCTTCTGGGCACGATCATCTTTGGAAGTTATTTGTGCCATGGATTGTCCCAAATATTTTGAGCCCCCATGAGCCTTGTGGTGTGAGGCCCCCCAAGGCCCTTGGGCACTGGCCTGGTTGGTAATCCGTCCCTGCCGTCAACTACACTGGCTGCCAATCTCGCATTTAAAAAGGTACAAACTTTTACTTCTCCCATTTAAACATGTTCATGGTCTTGCTCCAACTTATCTCTCTGAGCTCTTGCAGCCCCACACCCGATTTCACACTCTTAGGTCCACCAATACTGGTCAACTAGTGGTCCATAAGATAAGACTGACATCAAATGGGGCAGATCATTTGGTGCTGTGGCCCTCAGACTTTGGAAATCCATAATTCAGCACATCCATATGCTGTGTTTCCTTCTCTCTGTTTTATAACTTGTCTTAAAACGCTTCTCTTCCAGGCTTCTCTCTCTTGAATTGTAATTTGAAGATTTTCATTCCAAATTGCAGTATATGCAATCAAAAAATGCTGTTTTATTTTTGAATAAAAGTGGTATCAATCGTAGTATAGCACTGATATTCCTTGTATATGTAAAATCCACTCCCAACAACGTATATCACAAAAAATCAAAATTTATGAAAGTGGTGTTTACTGTTTTTTTTTAAGAGGTTCAAACTCCCACACTGATCAGCACTTCATTCAACAGGTCAGTAATGAGAAAGCAGCGGGAAGTGCCGAAGGCCAAACCATTAACAGATATTTCCCATAATCACAACAGTGAGTCACACTGTGGATTGAGTGATCACAAACTAACCCTAAATTTCCTTATTTATTCTCTGCTCCTTTATTTCTAGCCCTTCCTGGTTACTCTTACTGTGTCTCATAGACTTTGAAATTATATTTTGGGAAACATTTTCTGTAATGATAAAGGCTGAAATGGCCAATAAAGTACTGTTTTTAGTGAGAAAACAAAGAGTCTATCCAAATGATTCAGACTGCAAAATTATAGCTGATATCTACTATATTAAATAGCAGATAATCAGAATTGTTTACAGTGGTGGTGATAGGAACCAGACATTCAAAAAGTTAAATGCTTCTAAAAGCTCCCTCACAGAAAGTAATTACACAAAATGGTTACGAATATGCTGCCTTACGCCGTTGCTGAAACATTTTTTAAGATAGTTAAACATAGGCTGGAGAGGTACAGGGAGGGTGTTCTAAGGCAAAATAGTCCCTTACTATCCAGCAAGTTACTGGATAGTAAATAAAATGGTTCTGTTCGCGTTCTTGACATGGCAACCCCTGGTTCCTATCACCACCACTGTAAGGAAATCTGAGTCTGGAAGTTTCTCTACAATCCAACTATTTCCGATCAATCCACTCCGAATGACTTTGTATACATCTCAACCCTTGAATTATACATCATGTTTACAATGTTGGTGTAATTCCCCTTTAACCAGTTCAGTGATTACGTGAAGAGGTAATGTCAGTGGCTTACAGGTACATTACAGTGAATTTATAGTGTGCAAGCAATTTGCAGCAAAAATATTGGACTAACATTCTGTACTTTTGCTTCACAATTCACTTCTTTAATGAAACATACTATGGGGAACAATTAAATTTTGCTTTAACCTGCCTAGTATGCCTGGAGGGAACTTTAGGCATGCAGCTTGAATTGTGAACAACGTTAGCAGTCTGTTTCAGGAAGTGTGTGAACTTCCGTGCACCCTTCCATTGTGAGTGTGCATTTGTCTTTTTGTCATGGTGATGCATGTTCATTCAAGGTGTTTATTTCCTGTTTGCACATTTATTTTGCTCAGCCGAAATGTATGACCTCAGCTCTGACAGTCTTCACATGAAGAAATAACAGAAGTAAGACAGAGTGAAGCAGAGGCCATTCAGTATTGTGTCATAACAGTAAGCACTATAGAGAATTCTATGGTTTGTATGTAAAGTGTTTGACCCACTTTAAAAGTCATCAAATTCATCTAGACACTTTGATACTTTGTGCTGTGTCATGTTTTATTTTAAAAGACAAAAGCAATTTATTTAAAATTATATTGGTTTTATGTCAGAACATATTCTGTGACAAAGATTACTAACTAAAAAATGCTGTTTGAATAAACCTAAAAACCTATCCTAAAAAATTGGATAAAGGACCTCCTTAATTCAGGTACCACTGGTGAGACTGAATTGACTGAATTTGGTAAGACCAATAATTCTAAGGAAATTAGAGATACAATTATAGACATGCACAAGACAGGAAATGGCTACAAAGTGATATCCAAGTGTTCGGAGACTCCAGTAGGCACTGTTGGATCAACTGCGATAAAATGGAAGCTGCATCATACCACCCAGACGCTGCTTAGACAAGGCCATCCCTCAAAACTCAGCATCACAGCAAGACTTGTGAGGAAAGCCTCAGAGAGGCAATCAATCACTTTAAAGGAGCTACATAGTTTGGTGGCTAAGACTGGGTTGAAGGTGCACCTGTCAACAATATTAAAAGTTCTGTATTTAACTTATCTGTATCAAAAGGTGGCTTGAAAGAAGCCATTACTGAAGAAAATACACATCAATACACATCTGGAGTTTGAAAGCATCAGACTGATCCTGCTAAAAAGTGGGATATGATTTTGTGGTCAGATCAGAGCTTTTTGGCCAAAATTCAGAGCACTAGGTGTAGCGCAAACCTAACACTGCCCAGTGTTCCTCAACAAACACCATCCCAACAGTGAAATCATGTTGTGGGGATGTTTATCCTCAGCAGGGACAGGGCATCTTAAAACTGGAGGACAGCTGTATGGTGCAAAAAACAGGGAGATGCTGCAAGACAACGTGTTTCAGACTAAGGTTTAGGAGAAAATTCACATTTCAGCATGACAGTGAGTGTGTTTACATGCACTTAATATTCCGATAACTGCAGAAAATCAGATTTTGTCAGTAATCCGAGTAATGAAATAATGGACAAACTCTGGGTCTACGTGAGCCAGGCAGTAATCGGATTTCTGCTTTACAATCAGCCAATAAACTCAAAGCAGACGTGACGTAACTGTACTGTAAAACTCCATGTCGTGGCTTTTTTTTTACTTTATGAACAAAAAGAAAATATGAACATACATCATCTAGAAAATGAAGAAAATTTAAATCCTTTATTTCGTCAAGCATGTATTTGGTTTCAGCGCTGCTCCAAAAGTGTTTTGCTGCCCTCTCCTGGCAACGCTGCTTGCTTATTTCTAGTACCGCTGTCTGTTTCGCACATGTGCAAACTGAGAAATCTAGAAGAAGTACTACAGTGACTGCGCTCCTAGAAAACAAAATCAAAATTTACTATCTTAAAAAAACAGACTTAATAAATGTTCTTTCCTTGCTTGGTATGACAGTGATCAATCTGGGTATGCCAAGGATCACCTGTGGCTACGCCCCTGGGTTGAATGCTTTTGCAAGGCACTGTATGTGTATCAGAAAATGTGTAGTAAATGTGTAGGGAGGGATGATACCAGTAATTTTCTTATAATGATAAGTACTACTAAGGCCAATATCCTGATACCAATACCAATACAGATACTTTTAAAAGGGAAAATTCTTTGTGATTTCTTCAGTGAAAATCGGTAAAAAGTGGACATGCAAAAATATATTTAAAAGCCTTTGCATTAGTATTAAATAAACTGCCACACAAACTGTCTGTTTCGGAAGAAACTGTAAATGATCTGCCATTCTAGAGCATTCACTGCATCTCATATGGCTCTCTGTGTCTGTGTGTGTGCGTGAGAAGTACAGGGAGAAGGCGGAAGAAAAAGTAACACATTTCTTTGCTATTTGCTACACATTTCTTTGCTATATTCATTTTTTTTTACATTTTCACCATCATTTTAATAATACTGATTAGTAGTGACTGGCTCTGGTATGTATTTATACAATCCTGGGGTTATGTTCATAGGCTTCCAACCTTCTTTTTTAAACGCAATAAACATAAATGGTTTAGACCTAATCAGGCTACAACTCAGCTTCTTTCTCACACACATACACACTCACTTAGTTTATCTATCTAGTGAGTAGCATAGTGACTCACCAACAAACCCAAACAAATGATAAAAAACAAAGACATCGGAGAAATTGACGACATAATCAATGCATCAAAGCTTGCATACACACACCCACATTGCATCAAAACACTGTACACACCCATCAAAACATTTCCTATCATTTTCACCAGAACATGGAAACCCTTGAGCAATGTTCCAATACAAATATACATTTATATCTTGATGCACAAACAAACACTAATCAACTAATCATTTTTTCATTTCTTTTTTTTTTTCAGCTGACTATAAACTAAAGATCAGAAATAAGTTCTGGAATTGCGTTTCACAAAATATTTCAACAGTGAGTTGGAAACAAAAGACAAACAAAAAACAACAGGAATTTTATCTGTTATCAGACAGCCTTAACTTTTGGTTTCAGTCATGTAACTGAGAAAATATTGCTTTGTAAAGTACACCACTCCTTCCTAACTATATTGCTGCTCTGTGCAAAAAAGACAGACCAGTGTCCGTCACAGATCTTTTCCATGAGCTAACAACTACCAGCAAGATTATTAATATGAACAGAAGACATATTAACCCCTTAAATGGACAGTTTTATTGTTTTATTACACAATTCTATAACCTAAGAATAGCTCAACTAGTTTACGTTGACATCCCTGAAGTTACTGAATAATAAGTCGTAGTATGTAATAAGCCTGGGTTTTTAACGGGTTAAAGAGGATTTACCAATTTTTCAAAAAATAATTTGCACAACCCAGCAGCATAATTAAACTGTAAGATGTAAACAAATTCAGGGTGGTGTGATGTGAAATGTGCTGTTCTAGAGAAAATCAGAATTATTCACAGTGGTGGTGATAGAAACCAGATGTCCTAAACATCTGTCCCAAGCCTGTGTAAGCTCCCACACAGAACGTTTTTTATGAAATGGTTAATGTGCTGACTAATGCCTGAGACATTGTTTCTGCACAGGTCTGAGAAGGTTTTGACCTGGAGGAGATTTACATATGGGGTGCTGTATTGCAAAAATCAAACAAAAAAAATATTGGATTTACCAGTATTTTACCATTAACAACATAATCTGTACTCAGAAGGCACGTGTAGGTTCAATGTGGAGATCAAATAAAATTACTATTTGCACTGTAGGCATCAGGGCCCCTGGTTCCTATCACCACCATTGTAAAGAAATCAGTCTTTGTTTCCCTATACGCACCATTTCACATCAGATCACCCTGAATGACTGTTTACATGTCAACGACTTAACAGAAACTTCAAACAATCCGTGGAATTCCTCTTTAAACGCATAAATACACAGACACATTCCAGATGGCCTCTGAGTTTAACATGCATCATGATCAAAGCGCTGTAACGGTCTATCGCCCCCTAGTGGTGATGCCAAAGTACCATTTTCAGGAGGGATGAACATGAATATATGAGGAGTTTCATTAGATGTGACTTGCTTGTGGCTGGGATGAATTAGTGTGTGTGTGTGTGTGTGTGTGTGTGTGTGTGTGTGTGTGTGTGTGTGTGTGTGTGTGTGAGAGAGAGAGAGAGAGAGAGAGAGAGAGAGAGAAAGAGATACACAATGGGCTTTACAGCGATGCTCAATGAGGATCAGCTCGACTGTCTCTGGTTCTGTCGTTAGATGGCATAGGTGTGCAGTTCTCAATCTCATTCACTCTATTTCCCCTCCAGCAGGCTAGAAAAGCTCAGTTTTCCTCAATGTTACAAGTTGGTGCAGAGAAACGTGCGTGCGTGTGTGCATGTCGTCTCTAGAGTGTCTGGCTGACCTGTTTTGTCAGCGTTAAAGGGGTCATATCATGGAAAATGAACGGATTTTCCTCACTTTTCCTCACTAGTTTTTTTGGAAACTACAAAAACAGCCTGTTCTGAATTTCTGTGATGTCACGAAACCCAACGTATTTACATATATTATAAATTAATCTTACAGCAGTTTAGCCCCGCCCACTCACACTGACGTTATAAGGAGGATTTAGTCCAGACTGCTTTTCCAATGAGGCACAATACAGGGCAGCCAATCAGAACAGAGACCCTTTACAAATATCAGTCTTGGTAACAAAAAGACTTAATAGATAAATGTAGCATATGGGCCGTTTACTGGATGAGGCGCGGGACAGTGGGAGTTTTTAGACGAAGAACTCTCGGTCAGGTGACCCAGTGATGGCGATCAGGTTTGGTGATATACTTGTCTCATGCTACACTGAATTGTGGCGTTATTTTTTCACCTATGTTTCTAATCCCGCCTCCACAACGAACTGCTCTTGAAACAAATTATCGCAAACACAGTTAATTGCGACAGCCTCTTGTTTTGGTGCCCACAGCGTCACAACGTCGAAATATAGTTCTGCAGAAAGTTGTGACAACGTTATCTGACAACATTGTGACAGTGTGGTGGTTCTTCAAGTCACCCTCCTAGAACCCTTCATTAGTTCCATTATGATGTGCGTGGAAGTCAATGGAATTTTGCTAAGTAACTGCTAAGGCAACAGGTAGTCCTAATACCGTACGGCAACGCTACTTAATAATGAGGTTCTGTTGTTCAGACAACGTAAACAGCAACACGTTCTGACAACGTTGTAGCAAGGCTGTAAGGAAGCTGACAGCATTGTGACTGTTGTGTGTTTGCTGGGTTATTAGCCGATCCTAGCACGTTCACTGGGATTGGTTATTGCGAAAATCCAAAGTTGAGAATTTGTATATTTTACACGTATTGCATGGTAAACTTGACACTAACGTGTAGATTAATATACTATAATATAGAGACCAGAAAATGGTTTATTTATTATCATTATTTCATGATGCTTTATTTGGGAAGTTTTCAGGAACACCAAGTTATTGAATGATAAATAATGTACTGTAAATATAGCCTTTTTAAGTTATCTGCCTGAATTTTTAAACACCACTTTCCAATAAGAAGCATTCAGGGTGTTAATTTTATTATTTTCATTCTCAGTGTTATCCAGGTTTCTTAATAATCAGGGAATCGTCTACAGCTCTATTCATAACTTTGGACACAGCTAAAATTTCTTTCCGTTTATGTATGAACCAGTTTCACTACGAATTCCTCTGTATGCAAATATACGTGAAAGTGCTTTTGAGTCTGCTTCTATTAGCCAATCCTAGCGTGGGAGAGGCGATACTACCAACCAATCCCTGCGAAGGACGCGTGATACTTCTAGCCAATCCTAGCTCAGGAGGCGGGGCCGGACGGTATACGGGTAGGAAATAAATAACGAAGATCTAAAGATGTGCTTCAACGACAGTGGCTATTTTAAGGCTTTGAATAAGGTCAGCACTCTGCAGTGATGTACTTGATTTCAGCTTCATGGAATTGCTTTTTTCCCCTTTACATTTTCCTTGCCGAGCTGGTTGTATTCAGCTCAGAAAAACTGCAGAAGAGTCTTTTAAAGTCAAAGCAGTTATCATTTTCAAGGAAAGTCTGTCACTGTGGAAAGATGACCTGGTTGCCTTTTTTCTCAGTGAGTAGTCTGGGATTGAATTTGATGTGAATGGAGTGAGCTGTTAAAGAGAGAGCCATCGGCGGCTGTCGACAGAAAGTCAAGGGTGTCCACTGTATTTTGCATGGGTCAGGTAGGTAGGTCACTGAAACTGGCAGAATTGGTATTTTTCTTGTAAAAGGATGCTCTTTTTCTCTTTTGCACTGTGCATCTAATGCTGCAGATACATGTGTATTTGTGTCCTCTAACTCAAGTTTGCCAAGGAACCTCTTTCTCTTTGGCACTGTGCATCTAATGCAGTATGTCCTATTGTCCTAGTGCACCAGCTGCTAGTGTGTGGATTATGTACATGCCTAAATGTTGGCTGTTTGAGAGTAGTTTTTGCACATAAGTGGGAACACAGGTGAGTGACCGTTAGGACAGTGAGAGTTGTCTGTTTAGCTTTGCTGCAGTTATGTCAGATAGCGCTGATGACCCTCTGGTGCTGCTGGAGATCCTGGAGGTGCTGGGTGTGTGCCGTGGCCGCCTGTCGTATGCAGACGTGTGTGTGTATCTGAGTGGACGCTATGAGCTGCAGCCGCTGCTGGAGCTGCGCAGTCTCCTGTATTCCACAGCCTGCCGTGACCCATGTTTTCCTGCCACTCTGTTCCGTGAGCGGCTGCACCCCCCCTGCAGTAACCGCCTGTCTGCGGCTGCTGATGTGGTCTCACTCTTCAACCTGCTCACACACACACGTCTGCCTCCCTCGCATACACACGCTGACCAGTCCCAGGCCACTTGCCTGGCCTGCGGTCAGGGATGTCCTCGCTGTGATTGGCTACAAGCAGGGGGTGGGGCTATAGCCCCAGGCTCTAAATACGAGGGCTCCACTGAAGGACTGATCAGAATGAACGCTGAGGTCTTGCACACACAGACTCCATCACACTTTCGTGCTCACACGCACCCTGCCTCACACACACTCAACCAAGACAGCATGCAGAGCACGCATTCCATTGACATTCCTGGTGAATGCACGAGGAACCAGGAGTCATCCAGCAAGGTCTCGGCTGCTGGTTCGGATGCGGAGCCTATTTACTCTTGTGCTCAGAAGAGGAGCATGTTTAAGGGGGAGTTCCACAACTTATTACCGTTTGTCCCTATGGAAAGCAACAGGCAATCAGAGCAAGCCCAGGAAGGAGTCACAGATGGGGGGGAGGACGTCCCCTTCCGCACCTACAAGAATCCGTATCCTGATTCTACTGTGTACCAACATGACTCTGCAACGCACTTGCATGATGCACCAACACATGCGCACCATCTTTCAACACATGTGCAGGGCCAGGCTGCAAACCCCTATGTGCATGCTACACAGACAAATGACATGCTAACACATTCACAAGGGCCTGCCATGCCAATGCATGATCCACATGTGCACACACATGCACCCGTCGCACAAATGCATGCTCCTTCCACAAATGTACACCCTACTGCACAGACTTCCTTTGACCAGAAGCACAAAAGTCTCGATGACCTGCAAAGCTCCACTTACTTTGGGCCGACAGTGATGGAGAGAAGCCACCAGAGTCCAGCCATGGCCACCAAAAGCCACAGTCTGGACATTGACAGCAGGCCTGAGGAAGAGGAAAAGTCTGGACTAGATAAAAACAAAGCACGGAGACCTGGATCTGAAAGGTCTGTGCTGGATAAATCTGGATTAGCTAAACCTAAATTAGCTAAACTTAGCTTTGATAACAGTAGCTTTGACATTCCAGGCTTCGACCCATTCATCGTCAGGTCAGTACGGGACACGCTGAAGCGTCTGAGCGGGCTGAGTTTGGATGCGTGGTATGATTGTTCTCCGGGTGATGGCGTGTCTAATGTGGCCACTCAGACAGACCCTCCTGACCGCCGTGCCCTGAGAAGCCTCATGCTAAGCGACAAACTTTCCATAGATAATCCCGATATTGGTGAGGACGACATCAGTGCCATCTTCCGTTTCCTGGACGACATTAGTATGTGTGGTTCAATGGCGGTGCTACCTGGAGAAGCGGGCGGAAGTCAGGAGGGAGGTGGGGCTGGGTTGCCAGAGCGACGGGAGCGTTTGGGGAAGCTCCGGCGGCTCTTCCACTCTCTGGAGGGCCCTGAGGAAGGGGTGCGGTGGGGTGTAGGCCGGCTGCTGCAGCGGGTCACAGAACTGGAGCAGCGGCTGGAGCCTATCTCGGAGCTGCGGGAACAGCTGGCATTGGTCCTCGCCACACTGAATCGATTGGAGCAAAGAGGAAAACTAGTGCACACACACTCAGAGCAGCTGTGCGCACACCACCAGGCTGCACAGGGCTGTATGCCAAGCGCTCAGCAGCAGCAGCAGGGAAGCCCCAGGCCTAACCCAGAGCTGGAGGGGGCTGAGGGGGCCGCAGCCAAACGCAGAGGTCTGTTCACACGCAGGGCCTCCAGGAGCCACACAGAGAGCAGCGGCTCCGAACAGCAGCGTGAGTGGAGCGTCAGCTACAGCAAAGAACAGCACACATGTCCTGCTCAGGTAGGTACAAGCACACATATACGCACACCCACACATGTAAGGGGTGAGGAATTCTTGGCCCCCTGAGAAGTGGGGGTACTGAGGGGCCTGCAGCATCCCAGATTTTAAAATAGTTTAAAACAATAATCAAAGTGTAATAAAGATGTTAGTATAATTGTTTCATGGTGGAGTCTATAATTTTATTACATTTTTTATTTATATATTTTCAAAATCAAGCCCCAGTGCCAAAAAAATGGATGTGCTAGTCTACTTTAAATGACCTAGAGCTTAATTTATGGAAAATAATCACATTTAAATCATAATTGCAATATTAGTCACAATTAGTATTAGTTTAAATGCATTGTTTTCCCATTATATATCCTGCTCTGTGTGCATTCAAGTATTGGACCTTCAGCTTGTAGCTAGACTATGGGCATGGCACAACTGGTTTCCACACCATATATTAACAATCGCTGCTCAGCTCATTTGCATATCTTTCGTGGGGACCCAGAGAGAGCAGAGTGGACATCAGCAGCTTGATGTGTCAGTTACGTGTGCATATTGCTGTCATTATGAACATGATGACATGCTCTATTTTATGTAAATTATCCAAAACATTGAAAAAATTAAAGAAATATAATTTTGCTTGACTTTACTGTCTACATCACCTATATGCTGCTTAAAATTTCAGCAACCCCAACTTAAAATACCTTCCCAGGTCCCTGCTCAAAGTAACACATCTAAGTAGAAAATATTGGAATTCACATATATGTGTACAGTTTGTATGGAACATTAATTAATAGTCTGCCAAGTTACAGTGCCTCTAGATACTTCCTCCTGTTACTCCACCACTACTTAAAGACACACACACACACACACACACACAGACTATGCACATATTTGCTTGTTTGTGTGCATAAAGGCTTGTGTTTATTTGTATGTGTCTTGCTTTGCATACTATCACAGGCAGAGCAGCATGACAGACCGTGTAAGAAAGAGGCCCATGCTGCGCAGGAGAGAAGAAAGAGTTCTCACCTCATCCCTGAAGCCCACAGAGCTCCACTGCACAGCTCCATGCAGAGCTCTAACCTGCGCCTCACTGACCGCCCCAAAGTCTCCTGGAGCCAGACAGAGCTGACACCCTTTGACTTACAGGTAATCCCACTATTTCCTCTCTGTGAATGACCTTCAGGGTTTGCTTTAGGCTGCATTCATTACGAAAAGTAGCTTTTACATTGCTTGTTCAAAGACAGGAGATTGCTTGCAGTTCAGGCATTATTGCCTAGTTCATCCAGTGGCATAATGGTATTTCTTATAATGGTATTTTTTTTGCATAAAATTACACTTTTATTTTCAACAGAAGAAAGTGGTTGAAATAAATTAGCAGATAGCAGGGATCCAAGAAGATTTCAGCATCACTGAAGATTTCAGCAGCACTTCTGATTGACAAGATGGTTAGCAGCAGAATAGTGATATAATAGTGACTATTTCAAGAGCTGTGTATTAGAATCAGATGGAAAAGAATTTGAGATTCAATAGGCTTGTTGGTATAATTATTGCCTAAAATATTCTGTGCATAAGAAAGAAAAGATTTTTGCACTCTATTAAAAATAAGGAATTAAGGTATATAATACAACTTGGCTGCCTGAAATTAAACTGTGATAAATGATCGAATGATCATTATTACACATGAAGTAGGCTATGGGCAGTCATTCAGTCATTTATATAGTTGCTTTGTCCACAAACCAATATTTTAACATTATTAAAAGGATGTCTATTCTGCTTCATATACAGCATGCATATATGACTATATTCACATACAGTTCCAAAATCTTTGATCACAAATCCAATTGCAAAGACTTTTTTCATAAATGGATTTTGTATGTTTTACAGGATAAGATTTTTACCATTAAACAATGTATTTATCTTTTAGAAAGAAATGTATTCATTTCATTTATAAATTTACATTTTCAAAAATACAAGATAAATGTTAAATAAAGTGTTTTATTTAATTGATAAAATACAGTGCAATATAATGAAGATGAAAATGTTCACCACCATGATCTCTGTTTTTCAGGCCCCCGAGTCTCTGGACTTCTGGATGGATGACGTTTACACTCCGGCCTCAGACACACTCCTGCGGCGCTCGCAGTCCCTCACACGCTGCAGCAGGAACCAAACCTATCGCATTACTGCACTCAGTGTCACTGCCACCGTCATCCTCATCCTCATCATCGTAATCCCAATATGCACTGCATAACGCTCACACACAAACTCTCTGTCTCTCTCTCTCTCACACACACACCCACACAGACACATCCTAATATATAAATACATGCACACATTTTAATTAATCGAATTAATACATTCTGTCATTCTGCACTGCATTATTTTTATGCTAATTTTGAAGCATGACTGCAAAATCAGTTTAAATGGGTGTTTACCCCACTGTATAGTATAGACCTACTGTATAGACCTACTCTTCACTAAATAAATTTTGCTAAAACTCTGTTGGATTGCATAGTCTGATGTTGTACTCTATACAGCCTGTGTATTGCCTAAAATGATAAAAATGTGTTTCCAAATTGTGCAGTAAATTTACACAATTTTATCAACAGACTGTCAACATAATACATAATAATACCTCTATGTGAAGTAGACCATGGATAGCCACTGTCATTTTGTCATGTCTTGCTCCTGTTTGAGTTTCTTCTCTGCTCTCTCTTCTAAAAGTGACGCTAACGTCATGTAAAGTTATATAATGTCCCTGGGTCCCCAGTGATCCTACAGCCATCTGTGGCCTGAATCCAAGAGAATATATTTCCTTCGGTCTCTCCCTCTTCCCATCAATGCTAGCCGACATTTGTTAGCTGATCTAACAGAATAAATGGTTTGCATTCTCCTCCAAGCACATCAAGCTGTCCAAGAATGGTGCATTAGTTGTTTAAAAAAAGATGCAGGCTCCACATATGTTGGAGGAAGCTTATGCTAACCCTCACCCTCCAAGCCTGGTAGCATCAGAGACAGTGGGGGACCTAGCTAGCAGGCAGAATTGGACATGACTAATGAAATGCAGCGGTAATAAAAAAAAGTTTGTCTTGCAGTGGAATTTACGTCTAATACCTACACAAGTAGGTACTTGCCAATGGTGGTATTTGGATAGTCTGAAGTCAATCAGACATTTAAGAAGGGATTAGTGAACCAACTTTATTCCAAAAGTTATGCACTTCAGAAATGTGCTCATCTATTAATGTAGAAATATACCTGATATATGGAAAATATATGTTTAAAGAGAAATGTTTGCTTTTACTACTCCTCATAACACTCATGAACACATACACATCCACTGGCAAAGCTCATTCCACGCTTTTATGGTTAGGGGATGTTTCCGGTAAATCCTCTTTGCTGGACTGATGTGCCCATTAGTCTAATCCAATTCCCCAGCAATTTGAGTCAGACATGGAGACTCGCACACATACTCTAGATAGTGAGGGGGGATCCCCTCACTCGAAGAAACACCAACACAACACAAACACACTCAAAAAATGATCCCGTAGAGTAAACTGGGAGTGCTCTGAGACCCTAAATCTCTGTAGGACTTCAGACCTGTTCCACAATCGACCCCTCTTCCCTTACCCTGAGTCATCAACATCTGATAAGGGGTAAAGCAGTATCCATGTTTTGCCTTCTTCTCTGCAGTTAGACTATAGAGGGGAATCTCTGGTATAGGCATGGCATGTCTTCTAGTAGGACTAAAAAACATCTGTTCTTTCCTTGTGAAGCATTACGCACAAATCATTAGCTACAGTGTACATGCAGGCAGTACTAAGGGCAAGAATGCAAGGTATGCACAATACCTTCACTTGTTGTTCTGCAGAAGCTAAAACTTACAGAAATATGTCCCTTGGGGTCTATAATGGAAGCAATGGTTTAATGGCAACAGCACACATACTCTGCAAAGTAACATCACAGGACCAATAATGGGCTATGATAGCAAGCGGAAAGAGTGAAAGGTAGTGAGGAAGGAGGGAGGGAGTAGGAGCAAGCCAGGGAGGATATTTTGTCCTCTTTTTCCAGCTGAAGGTTGCTGAGTCCCAGTTCTGTCTGCTGCTGCTGATAAATGAGCACTGCCTCAAATTTGTGTGCAAGTGCAAAAGCCAAGCCAGGTTTCACTTGCACTACTGTGATGTAGACTCAAACAGTACCACACTCAGCTTAATCTGACTCAACTAAATCAACATTTATAGGGTAATTCCTGTTGGCTGACCAATTCTCTAATCCCTAAGTTTCAAGTTGAAAAAATTTGATTTATCATTTTATTAAAAAAAAAAAAAACTTTATTCAGAAAGTGCTTTCCAATGTTTTAATTATTTTAATCTATTTCAAAGCTGCGTGTGCTAGTCATGCACTGGCCAACATTTTTGAGGTATGCTAATGCTTGTCACTACCGAAACATCATTTTTATTAAAATAAATATAATTAAGGTAAGTTATAAGGTCACTCAAAGCAAAAGAATTTTAGTCTGAAAGTCTGAAATTTGTTTTCAACTCTGATTTTGAACCAACTAACTCACATACCTCTGCTACACGTGAAAACAATTATAGGTGGGGTTAATTGTGACAGACTATAGGACTAGTTTTAACAGTAATAAAAGGTCTTGCAAATCAATGCAAAACAGTTATCTTAGTACACTGAATTGAACATGTTTGTTTGAACCAGAAGAACATAACCTATGAAAAACATAATCTATGAAAACACTCAAATGTGGCAAATTTACACAGTGTAACCACAGTGTAGAACAGCAAATATCAGCACAATAAATTAAAATATGTTTTATTTACATTACATCTACAGCACAATTCTGATGAATCTGTGCATTAAAACTTGCAAAAAATTAACTGCTGTGAATTTAGGCATGGAGAAGCTATGGAACAATGCAACACTGTGTTACAGCTAACCCTGCCATATGGAAGCTGCTCTTTAACCTGGCTCGCTCTTAATGTAAGCTGTTTACATGCTTCAAATTGGTGCTGTTTTACAGCCACAAATATCAAAATAGTATAGGTGAGAATTCTGTAACTCACAACTCAGCAATCAAACGCATGGGAAGAATATGAGAAGATAACCAAAAGCATTTTCTACTTGAACAATGTCACCTACATAAAATATTCATGTTACATTTTACCCTGCGTTAGTTTGTGCCCTACACTCTCCTACATTATGGGTCGATTGGTGCATTTTCCTTTCAACATAGAATCTCTAGAATGTTCTTTAGTCCAGGAATAAGCTTAATTCCTGTCTGGGAAACCAACCCTGTATGTCCAAAAGTATGCAGACAGCTCTACTTATTAGTCAATTAAAGCCAACCGAAAAGGCGCTCAGTTGTGTGCCCACACGGCTCATACAATCTCCATAGAAAAGCTTTGCCAATAGAGTGGGAAGCTTTGGTGAAGCCACACATGAGCCTAATGTCACCATGCCCAGTGCCAAACATTGCCTAGAGGGGATCTAAAGTCCCCAGCATTGGGCTGTGGAGCAGCGGAACTGTATTCTCTGGAGTGGAGCTCTATCCAGTTCCTCTGGGATGAGTTGGAGTGGCACTTGTGATCCATATCTAATCATCTAACATCAGTACCTCACCTCACTAATGCTCCTGTGGCTGAAAGCAATCAAATCACAACACTTCACAGCGATGTTTCAACATCTAGTGTAAAGCCTTCCCTGAAGAGAGGCTGTTTTATGAACGACTAGGCATACAAAAGCTTTGTCAGGAGAAAAAAAGTTGAAAAAAGTTTCAATTTATATTCAATCAATCATGAATTTTATTTCCTGAGATCAGAAACCAGTCAACAAAAGCACAGACTGAACAAACAAATGCTTGGCAAAATATGTCAGACAAAGGAAGATGATGAGTCTGTACATTTGAAGGTTTAGTGAAGTTACTGTATGCAGAGCATTTACAGGCAAATCGTTTTACATTTTTATACAACTTTCATGTTGCATTCATCTGTACAAATACTTATGTGTGGCTTTGAGAGGACTGAGCGCGATTATCCAGAAATAACAGGTGGCATTGTATATTTTTTTCTCAACTGCCTTTTTTTTATCTGTGTTGCAGTAAAAACATTTATAGGTGAACTATAACACTAACCAGTATACTGTCACGGCTTGAAGCACATAGAAGAGAACATTGTGTTGATCAGCAGGCCTGAAAGGTGAATCCCCTGTGTGTAACAGGACCTCAATCACTTTACTAGGCTGCAGCTTTTCCCTTCCTGTTAGAGTTTTAATATTTCAGAGCTCAGCTCTCATAAACATCTTTTATCTATTTATGACCCGTCAGTTCCGTTATTGACGAAGAGGCACTTACCATCACTTACCATCACTCTCGCTCTCTCTCTTTGTCTCTCATACACACACTGCCATTCAGGCCCTAAAGAGGACTTTAGACTCATATAGTTATCTAATAGAATCTTTACCCAATAGTTTTTTTTTCTGTCCTACAGTCTCTGACGTTGGCACTGTTTAGTTTAAATATATGTAAAAATGTAGGTTTAATACATAAAAGCTTTTGACTGAGGGGAAGAAAATACTTCAAAAATGTATTTCGTCTCTATGGAAGTAGTGTTTTGGAAGATTCATACTTGAGTATTATTGAAACTGTATACTTGTATTTACATTTCAAAGAAAAATAAATGTACATCTTACTCCATACATTATCTTTTTGACCTTGAAATTACTCAAAGTACTCATTACAAATCCCAAAGACCAGGAGATTCTCCCCTTTTTTATTTTTCTCCTTTTCTCATGGTGGTGTGTGTGTTGGGCTGGTATGAGTGGATCAGACACAGCAGTGCTGTTGGAGTTTTTCAACACTGTGTTCACTAACAGTCGGTCCACCTTGTAGATGTAAAGTCAGAGATGGTAGCTCATCTGTTGCTGCACAGTTTGTGTTGTGTCCCACAGGACGCTGCTGGCTGATTATTTCTGGTTGGTGGACTAGTCTAGCACTGACACTGAGGCATTTAAAAACTCCAGCAGCACTGCAGTGTTCAGTATGAGTGCAGATCCACTCATACCAGCACAACACACACCAACACACCACTACCACATCAGTGTCACAGCGGTGCTGAGAATGATCCACCCAAATAATAGCTGCTCTGTGGTGGTCCTGTGGGGGTCCTGACTATTGAAGAACAGATGGACTGTGGTGTGAAATTGTAGAACTAGTGCTCCTACATGGTAAGAGGAGCTGATAAAATGGAGAAAGTAGATACAATAAGATGTTCCTAATAAAGTGCTCTGTGAGTGTGCGTGTATGTGTATGTGTGTGTGTGTGTATATACACAGTAAGTAATGCTGCCTACAGTGAACCCTTAAAACACTCTGAATGACCTGGTTTATTGAATTATGCAACGATTTTGAAAAATCAGTGGAGTTTCCCTTTAAGGCTTGTAACCATGGAGACGCGTAAACAGACTCATCAACTGCTTGGCTAGCGCGCTGCGAATTACGCACCGTTAAATTAAGCTACTAACGTAGCTAGTTAGATAAGTTAACTAACTTACAGAGCAGAATTATACGAGTTAGCTATTCGAGTCCAAAACTATAGAGAGAGGCTGCCTGGATTTCAGCATATCTGTACGCGCTGATTTAAGCAGAGTAAGTTGCCTTTGCAGCCGGTGATCAGATGGCCACTGTCCGGACCTACAGCCCGAGCGTGCGGGTGGGAAACTGGAGGGAGGACGTGACTCTGGACGAGGTTTGTTTTTGAAAAAAAGCCATTTGACATG